TTATTTTGTTTAGATAAAGTCCTTATGTATAAAGAGTCATAAGTTACTCTGTTATTACATGTTTGTGTGGGTGGGTCGGAGTTACCCAATTATTTTACTTGTAAATATGTATTAGGAGTCAGAGTTGCTCTGTTATTACATGTTTACTTGGGTCGGAGTTACCCAAATATTCTGTTGAAGTTAAAACATGTGATTAGGAGTCAGAGTTACTCTGTTATTTACATGTTTCTTGGGTCGGAGTTACCCAAACAATTTGTAAATGTAAATATGTATTAGGAGTTATAGTAACTCTGTTATTACATGTTTACTTGGGTCAGAGCTACCCATGTGTTGTAAAGAATAACATGTATGTAGGAGTCGGAGTTACTCTGTTATTTACATGTTTGTGCGGGTCTGAGTAACCCAGATTTTTCAGAGTTTATGTTAATTTCTAATTTATAATTTGTATAGTTCAGTATAAAATTGAGAGTCTGAGTTATTGCGATATTTACATGTATTTTGGACTTCTGATTTATGCGGGATGCTTGGTAAATAATCAACATGTAAATTAAGAACAATAGGTAATCAGACATCAATGATTAATTTACTCCCTGTACATGTAGGTTATAGTTTCCCAAATTCACACTCTGTTTTTATTTGTTTAATCTGTTGGGATAATAATTAAATCTGCACTCAAGAATAAATATTATTCATGGTTTCTTTATTTGAGAGTCTGCAAGTTTATGATCTCACAACTGGCATTAACAAATTTGAGATCTGTATTGCCATTAGCATTGTGAGATGTCCTTAAGTCTGTAAAACACTTGTTTTATAATACATTCTCTTCTTCAGAAACAATGCCACCAAAGAAAAGGACCAAAAAAGGGGAACCTTCGGTGGATGTGCCCAGTACCCCCAGCTCAGGGAGTAAGCGAAAACGCGGGACTCCGATTCAGCAGCCAGAGACTGTGACACAGAGTGCTATGCCAACCATTGACTATTCGCTTCTGGCTAAACACATAATTGAACAACAGAAACTAACAACCAATGTCAGTGAGAATGGACTTGTTGAGGCAACCGTGCACCAAAGTGGGGAAGCATCCACACCTGTGAACACAAGCGTAGAGCCGGTGTCAAATCAGGACTTAGTCAATCCCGCAGTGAATCCGAGTTTGACAGATGGAACTCCACAGTCGACTCCCATGGTCCCAGCTTCAGCACTTGGTGCCCTATTGGACAATGTTTTCACAGGTGAGCCAGCAGGCAGTAATTCCCACACTAATTCTCAGATTCAGTTAACAGATTGCGTGCCTCTTGGGGCTACAGTTTCTTCCAAATTAAAACTTAAAATTTGGAACAATGAATTTGTTGACTTAAAACTTCTCCTACCCAACTCAACTGAAGAACCCCTATCTATAATGGTAAAAGCTGGCAAAATTGAACTCCATCAAGCATCTTCAAATAAGAGTCCAATAACAATTCATCAATGGACAGATGCCTTTCTGATTTTTAGTACCATCTATCTACAGAAGTTTCCTCAAGAGGCAAGCAATCTGTTGAAGTACATGTTTACCATTCGCGATATTAGTAAACTGCATGGTGAGCAAGCATGGAGAACTTACGATGAATCTTTTAGGAAAATTAGAGAGACATCCCTCTTACCATGGGAAAGAGTGGTATCAGAATTAAGATTAAAAGCAGCTTCGGTAGGAATTAGGCCTCCAAATAAATTTCAAGGGAGTAATGGCAAACGCCAGCCCTTTCGTCCCAGATACTGCTTTGCATATAACAAGGGGCAAAAATGTAACTCCCACCCATGTAAATTTTCCCATACCTGCCAAGACTGTAATGGTCTCCACCCCCGATCACAATGTACAAACCCTAGGTCCAACTCAACCCCTTCAAATAGACATGTCAGTAGCACTTCCAACTCCGATAAATCCAGTAAAACTTCAAAATGAGTTACATGGTTATGAACTAGAAAAACTAAATTTTCTAGTTTCAGGGTTCACAATCGGTTTCCGGTTAGGTTGTGTCAAGACCCCTTCCCTTCACCCTCCTCATAATCATAAATCAACTTATGAACACCCAGATATTATTGATGAATATATTATTGCAGGTTTAAATAAGCAGAGAATTGCAGGTCCTTTTATGCAGCCACCCCTACCACATTTTAAAACTTCTCCATTGGGGGTGGTCCCTAAATCTGAACCAAATAAATTTAGAATCATTCATGACCTTTCTTTTCCGAACCAGGATTCTGTTAATTCAAATATACCCAAAGAATGTTCAGAAGTTCATTATGATTCTGTTGATACTGTGGTAGCATTAGTGCGTCAGTTTGGGGAAGGGTCGCTCATGGCTAAATCTGATATTAAGGATGCATTTCGGATTATACCGGTTCACCCTGCGGATTATCATCTTTTGGGTTTCACATGGCAAGGCCATTTTTATTACGAGCGTTGTCTCCCTATGGGGGCAAGCAGTTCTTGTCAAATATTTGAGCAGTTAAGTACGGCTCTTCAGTGGGTAATGTTGAACAAACTAAAGGCATCAGGAATGTGTCATATTTTGTATGATTTCTTTTTCATTAGACCCCTCAACTCACAAAATTGCAAAAAGGATCTGGAAAATTTCTTGGCTTTATGTGGTAGAATTAATATCCCAATGAATATGGAAAAAACCTTTGGGCCAGTGACATGCATTACTATATATGGTATCGAGGTAGATTCTGTTGAGATGGTGAGCCGCCTTCCATTAGACAAGCTTGAGAAATGTAGAAATTTAGTGCGCCAGTTAAATTTCGCATGTTTAGTAGTGGTTCCGGGTAGGGCCTTTTTACGCCGGTTAATTGATTTGACAATAGGGATTGTGAAACCGCATTATTTTGTTCGTTTGAATAAAGAAGTTAGAGCAGATTTGGCAATGTGGTTGCACTTCCTTGAGAATTTTAATGGAAAATCTGTGCTTTTTCCAGAGGAATGGGAATCTTCTGATATCACTAGACTATTTACAGATGCTTCTGGTTCATTAGGATTTGCTGCTGTGTTTGGTTGTAAATGGTTTGCGGGAGAATGGACAGAGTCTCTTTTTCCCATGCAAATTGCAGTTAAAGAATTGTTTCCAATTGTATTAGCTCTAGAAATTTGGGGGTCTGAAATGGCAAATAAGAAAATTCTCTTTATGTCGGACAACATGGCTGTGGTAGAGGTTATAAATAAACAGTCGAGTAAAGAGAAAAATCTTATGCATCTTCTTCGTCGTTTGGTACTGGTTTGTCTATCAAATAATATCTTCTTTAAAGCTAAGCATATCCCAGGAAAATACAATGTGGTAGCTGACAGATTGTCACGTTTGCAATTTCAGAAAGCACGGGAAGAAGCGCCATACTTAGAACAACAGACAACTGTCGTTCCGGCACACCTATTGCAGATTTGACCTCTACCACACGTTCTGTCCTAGCCGCAGCCTTATCACCTTCTGCTCGTTATGCATACAGGCATTCATGGCAACTTTTCCTCAATTTCAGAAGAAATCCAGTATCTTTACCATTGCCTATTACAGATATTTGTAACTTTATTGGTTTTCTCTTTGAAAGGCAATATAGTTCTAGCAGCATTGCCTCACATATATCTGCATTAGGTTATGTTCACAAATTGATAAATTTGACAGATCCGACTCAACGCAGGGGGAATAAGGAAGCATACAAAATATTCTACCTTGACTAAATCAGTGCTGCATTATGACGTCATAGTAGGCGAGATGACGTCATTTTAGAACACAAGTTTTCGTATTATTGGTATTCACAGGTGTAATTTAACACGAGAAAATGAATAGGAACTTTTAAAAATTCACAAATATAAATTGTTCTTATTTTGTTATGCTGTATTCTGTCATTTTGATAAAAATCTACGACCGGTGACGTCATATGTATACATCAAGTAACTTGGGAATTCACCATGTCGTGTAATGAGAATATGGCTAAGACGGCATGTACAAAGATATGTAAAATGGAGTTTAAAAACAAATATCGTGAAAATTATGTGAAATCAATATGGAGATCAGCTTATTAAACAGGTATGTTAATCTATTTTCATCGATTATATTTTCTTTCGAAGACAGTCAGCTATATACATATCTCGGTCTGCCTTTCCTCTGTCATTCGAGACAAAAATAATGCAACAGAACAACAATAAGCTGGATATTTCAAAACATAAGATTTGTACAGATGGAAAGTTTGCCTTCTAAAATATTTGGAAAGTGCTGCTAGAATCCCGAGTTAAGCATGGTTTTACAAAAAATCTCGGTTCATATGTATAAAATTGAAAACAGCGGGTGAGGTTTCGTGCAAATGTGTATAATAATTATTTTCACTGACAGTACAGTGGGATTCTAGCAGCACTTTTAAGGCAGAATAGATGTTTTCGACTATATTGTTTACTCAAAGAAATTATTAATCTCCGGGGTATTGTTGTTCTGTTTGCTTTTTTATTAAGGAACTTTTCGCTATACATAGAAGTCACGTGATGACGTTGAGGTGGCGTAAATCTTTGCGTTAGACGCGGTTTTATCTCTATGCAATAGTTAATAATAGTTTACGTTTATCAGCGGTCTTGATAAATTATCAAATTTAATTTTCTTCAAAAAGTCTAAATTTCCCGAGAAATTATTTATATGCTTCCTTAACATACCCGCGAAACTTTTATCGTGCGCAAACTACTAAAAGGTTGTCACAAGCTACTACCCTCTCAGGATGCTAGGTTACCAATAACTAAAAATATTATGCACAAAATTTTGAGTGCATTAGTCTTTACTGTTCCACAAGCTTTAAATCGGGTTCTTTTGCAAGCCCTTTTCCTTCTATGTTTTAATGCATTTCTGCGATTAGGGGAGGTTATCTCAAAAACGCAAGCAGATAAAGACAAAGTTCTTCAAATACAAGACATTAATTTTATGGGGGTAAAAGGTAACCCTTCAGCAGTTCAAATTGTTCTTAGACATCATAAATCTCAAAAGAACAATGAGCCCATCATTATATCAATTCAAGCCAATCCTAGTTCACAATTTTGTCCAGTGCATAATCTTTATAGATATAAAACATTATTTTCACATGTTTCAGGCCCCTTCTTCCAGTTTGTCAATGGGACTCCAGTCACATATTCTTATATCAACAGTGAACTTTCAAAAGCGATAGCATTTGCTGGTCTGGATCCCAAGCGCTATAAGGGGCACAGTTTTCGAATAGGGGCTGCAACACATGCTGCCCAGCTAGGTTATTCTGAGACTTTCATTCAACATTTAGGAAGATGGAACTCAAATGTTTTACATAGATACATAAGAATTAAATCTTTTCAGTTGTAATTAGAGTATGAACTTCTCCACCCCCTTTTTCTATATCAATACAATCCATGGTAGGTCAGTGTTCTAACTGCTGCTATTCATTTAGGTTGCAGGACAGTGTTTTTAACTGCTGCTATTAATTTAGGTTGCAGGACAGTGTTTTTAACTGCTGCTATTCGGTTAGGTTGCAGGACAGTGTTTTTTAACTGCTGCTTAATGTACGTCAGCATAGGTTTAGGTTGCAAGTATTAAAGAGGGATGTCGCTCTATAGCCCAGTACCTGATATGTATATAAGTAGATGTAGTTTCATTTGTACAGTACAGGATAGTGTTTAACTGCTGTTTTGTCAAGGCAGCTAATTATTGGTTCTTGTTAAGTGTTTCCATTTCTACTATTATATTAAGCATAAAGTTGCATGCAATCTTATTTTTCTTCAAAGTAATATAACCACTGCCTGCTGGTTCCATCTAACAGATGACTTTTCATTTCATATGTTATTTAGTCATAATGTTTTCTTGCTAATTTTTCAACACTAGATGCCAGGTCACTGTTTATCTGCTGGCATATATGTTAATGTCATTCATATTTTTTATTTGTTTATTTTTTTTCCTGCATTGTATTGTAAATTAAAGATAATATTCCTGTGCTCAACCTCACCTTGGATGGCACAATGAGCTTGCCAAACTATGTTCGTCAATCACATTTGGTGGCATATTTATTTTTGTAGTGCCATCTTTTTGCTGTATACCTCCTGTTTTTATATTTTTTGCAAATATTGTTTATCTGTAAATTTAGGGGATCAGTATATTAATATGTATTTGTGCGATTACCTTTTGTTCTGATCCCCTATCATGTGATGTATATATTTTTTCTTATTTCGTCATTTTAATAAATGACATAATTAATCTCAACAATGGTGTTGATTTTATTTGAATTTATCACAGCAAAAACATAGCTGCGGTGAGATTGTGCAGCATGAGGAAACATAAAACAACAATTATGTAAATAATTTCATTTATGTGTTGAATGCTGTTTATTTTCTTTTGTCTAAATGTAAGTAATAAGATGTTCTATTTTATTGTTCAAACTCAATGTTTTGATTTTTCTCCATTTGCTGGAATTCTCCCAGGCCTTTCAATTGTCGGGTTCCACGTTATGTAATTTTCCTCATTTTTCCAAGCGGTGAGATTGCGCAGCATGAGGAAACATAAATTTATTTATTGAATAAAATGATATTATGTCAGACCACATGTTAAAAAGGAATATCAAAATAAAATTCTTTCACATTGAAAAATTGCTCCTTTTTCAGTTCAAAGACGAAAAGAGTATAAATTCTGACCGAGATATAAACTGCCAAAATTTCTTCAAGCATGTTGTTCAATCCATGTTTATTTAACGAATAAGGTATCATTCTTAAACATCTATCGGGCTCTAAATACGGGTTGGTCGCGTGATTAAATTCAATAAGGCCCCAAGGGCTTTTTAATGAATTTTATATTATACCAACTAGTATTTATATCCCGATAGATGATTTTGAAATGATACATTGATAAATTATTTATATTTACGAGGGCTGTTCAATAAATATTGTCCTGATATAACATACATTACAGATATCATATGACATTAAACTTGACTTTCTCTCATAATTGAATCTTTTATGAATTTATAACATGACAGTTTATGTGACCACCTTTCATCACATAGTTTCATCGTGAAAAGCTGGGAAACAAGCGCTTTTCGAGACACTGCATTATAAATGAATGGTAAAGAATCAGTAAACTAGAATGAAAATAAAAGCTTCATTTATCCAAAAGAAATATTCACTGAAAGGTGTGAAATGTACAGCAACCAATGCCTGTTTTATAGACAAATGAGCTGGTGGATTTCAATGATAAAAAATTATATAATGGTCATCAAAAAATGGGTACCCTCCTTGCCAACAAAATTATAACAACTTATGTACTATTCGCCAAATTTCAACAAATAATATTTGATGATGTATGATTGACTTTAAAACACATAGCAAATTTGATAGATATCACATCGGGAGTAGTTTACACTGTTTTTAAGAAACGTTTAAAGGTAAAAAAAGCTTGGCACTCAAAGGTCACCCTATATTTTGAAAAATGAGTGAAAACGACAACGTATACGAAATTCTTAACAATAATTTTAAAATATCAGTTATATTAGTTACAATGTATCCACGTTCATTTTTTTTTTCAAACAGATATGGGAACATGAATCTATTTATTAAAACCCTCAAAACAAAATTTACCATAAGATGCACTTGATAAAAAAGGCGAATGTCTGACAAGAGCACAGGTATTCAAGAGCACAAAGATAGTTGTTCAAACTCGTATTCGGAGAGACAGTTTAATTTCTGGAGGAGTCTAGAAAGCAATTTTTTGGCAAAAAAATCAAAAGCTTTATCAGAGGAAGGACCCAGAATCAGGAATCCACTACATTAAATTTCTTTATGACAGCGTCCAAACCCTGAACAGAAAAAGGGTTTTCGGGATAAACAGAAAGTTATTGTTTTTTCACGTTTACAATATTCGCCAAAATCTTTGACTTTTTGATCTGTTTCTATTTCCAAACTTGAAAAAAAAACACCTTTCAGAGGGAACAACAAGTCCATGGGAAATCATTGGATCTGACATTTTCCAGTATACTAAGGGCCATACCCAAAAATGAGTCCTAAAAACAATCAGAAATTGGAAAAAAAATGTTACGGACATGCACTTTACTTAAAAGAGATTAATTAGTAAAATCATGAAGACTAAATCATTGAAAAGCGTCTTTTGCTTCTTTCTGAGCACCGAAGACATTATTTATTGAATCGCTCTTGTACATGTGTGACATTCAAACTTTATATTTGCCTGATGGTGACTTTTAACTCTTGCAGTGCTTTATATTTCAAACCCAACAGCATGTATTTAATCCATTGAACGTGCGTCGACCCTTTATGCCGTCATAGAGAAATAACATCGAACGTTAAAGACATTCGTGAAACGTTTTCTATACAGTCATACATACACACTGCTTTCAGTAGTGCTATATAACGGAAAACATTTTAAATGTAAATATAATGTTTTCTATCTCACATTACTTAGCTATGACGTTAAAAGCGTTCAATTATAGTGGCATATACATGTAGCCTATGACGATGACGCACAAATCGACACTTCGCACTTTCGTACTTGCGAAAATATAGAATAAAAAATCCTTGTCTCATTCGTGAAATAAACTCCATATAAAATATTCAGAATACCCTATTTATTTTCCTGATTAAAACAAGTGCTTCATACATGTACCCTATAGTCTATATCTGTTTTGGAATTTTTTAATTTTTGAAATCTATACAAGTGTTGTTCGAAAAGCTGTGATTGTTGCCATTCTTCGTTATATTACTTATTACAAGATAATAGATAAACATATGTAAAAGTAATTGTTTTGTTTCTGTGTGAAATTTCATTCCATTATTTAGATATAGCAGAACTCAATTCACCATATTTTGAAATTAACATGTTTTGCACCCGCAGAGCACGCTTAAGGGAATGTAACGTCAAAATAAAGCGTTAAGAATTTCAAAAAAAAAAAAAAAAATTAAAAAAATGATAATATCCTTAAATATACATTTCCTCGGTATATTCTAATGCCTACTCATTAAATTCTTTGTCTAAAACATTGTACTTGACAATATATTTCTTTTTAGAACTGTTTTCGTTCTATATATATTCCCGCACTTTCTAAAGAAAGGTCAGGTTTACATAATGTTGTTACTCATGTCCGTCTGTCCATCCGTCCGTTTGTCATACTTTTCTTCCTCAACGTTCTCCTACATTTTACAAAGTAGCTTAATCATCTTAAGGGAGAAAGTTGGCAGTGTCGTGTTGATTTGCAGACATGTTTCGAAATTTTCATTTTTCCATGGAGGGGGGGGGGGGGTCAAATTGCGGTCGAAAAATGATGTATTTTATTTAAAAGGACCCATCTTCCCTGAACTCCTTCCCTTCTACCCTGCGAGGGTATGTTAAGGAAGCATATAAATCATTCTCGGGAAATAATTTTAGAGAAAAACAAGTTTGATAATTTTCAAACACCGCTGATAAACTTAGCCTATTATTAACTATTGTATAAAGATAAAAGAGTGTCAAACGCAAAGACGTGCATCATCAACACGGTATCACGTGACTTCTATTAATACTCAAGTAGCGAAATGTCCCCCTGGAGTTGAATAATTTCTCTGAATAAATACATGTAATACAGTTAAGAACATATATTTTGTCTTAAAGGAGCTGCTAAAATCCCAAGGTCTTATAAGTAAAATAATTATTCCACATATTCGCACGAAACCTTAACCGATGTTTTGAATTGAATACATATATACTAAGATTTTAGGTAAACTCTTGCTAAACAAGTGATTCTAACAGTATTTTCCAACTAGTTTAGAAGGCAAACGTTGCAGCTATACAAATCTGATGTTTTGAAATATGCAGCCAATTGTTGATCTGTTGCATTATCACGAATGACAGAGGAAAGGCCGATCGGGATACGAATGTATCTGACTGTCTTTGACAGAGAACATACTCGATGAAAATCATTAGCATACATGTCTAATTAACATCAACCTAAATGAATAACACATGACATTCACGATATTTGTTTTTATAACTCTATTTTACTAATGTCTGTAGATGTCGTATTAACCGAATTCTCTATACACGACATGAACAATTCCCAATTTACTCGATGTACATATATGACGTCATATGTGGTTGATTTTAATGAAAATGACGGATACAGCATAACAAAATAAAAACATTTGGTTTTTATTCATGTTTACACGTTTCTATACATTTTAAGAGTTAATTTCATCTCAATATACAAATATTACGAAAAGTTGTGTTTTAAAATTGAAGTAATCACGCCTACTATGACGCCATTATGTAGCACTGATTTAATAAAAGTAGAATTTTCTCTATGCTTGGTTATAACCCCTGCGTGAACTTCTCCT